AAAAAAAAAAAAAAAAAAAAAAAAAAAAAAAAAAAAAAAAAAGAGCAACCTCTTGCCTTTTTGCCAAATAGCCAACAAGTACGAATATAAGATTCACACTAAATCTTCACTCCCTTCTCCAGAAGCTGGTGCTGTGATAACACTTAAGACTGAAGGAGGCTGGGGGAAAACATTTTTTTTCCATAATTCCTGCTTTTTGTTAAATTTTGTTGGAGTTTTTGCTTGGCTTTGTGATTTTCATGTGTTTCACTTCTACTTTTTCATAGTATCTCACTTACAGAAGACATCTTAGTCCTGCATTACACTGGGTAAAGGGTTTCAAGCACTTCTGCGTACAACACACATTTGTGGGAGGGGAAAGCCTGTAATTCTGTAGATTTAGATTTTCTGTACAAGATGATGAGTTTTCTTCTTGCGATACAGAGACGAATCTGCATAAGACTCATCAGAAAGATTTCATCACATCTTAACTGCCACAGCTGGTTGCAGTCTGAAACAATATGATTTAAAGGTTATTATGGAAATAAGTTTCTCTGTCACCTGTAATGGTCACCCTGTTCTCAGTCAAACCACAAAGAGTTGTAAGGGGAACACTCTGATTCTGATTTCGGTTTAATCAATAGTGGTTTTTTGGACACAGTGTTTAAACTGTGAAGCCTTTTCTGAGGGTGGATGTTAAAAACACATTAAATCAGTAGAGGGCTATATTATTATGCAGTTCTTAATCTGTGCTTCTATAGGTACCATTTGTTGTCTTCAGCTGAAGTTTGCTTGAGTAGAGGTTGAGCAGTAAATGATAAGGACAGAAGGGTTTTGTTCTGGAGGCTCCCATTTTTATTTCCAGCAAATATTTGCAGACTGATATTGATATTGCAGGATGAAATTTTACTGAATTGTCGTATCTTGTGTCCAATTGTACATTTTCAAATAAATTTGGCTTATCAGTAGAAAAGCAACACGAGTGTGCAATGGTTCATTTAAGAATGAAAAAATGCTGTCCCAGGATGATTCATGTGTTGAAACAGACTAGATTCAGGTTAAATAGGTGAACTAAAATAATGTAGTGTAAGTGATCCGTAACTAATTTTCATTGCTTATAATGAAAACAGGCACTCTTGTCATCTTCGAATTGGAACAGAGAGATATTGGAAGAGAGCTGATGAACAGCAAAAAATATATTTTTAATTACAAACTAAACTCTTGAATAAACCTCGGATATTTCTGAGGGCATACCAGCACATTTCTGGTATAACTGTGGTCATGATTCTGATCCCAGCTAAATCAGTATGGGATTCTCCCCAGGCACTGCTGTAAGCAGAATCAAAGACATCTCTGCTAACCATTTTTGAGGAACCAGCACATGAAAAGATCATTTGTATTTTTTCCCCATTGCCATACCTGGAAGGATTTATTCATGTCTTGTATGGAATATTTCACGCTTTACCCTTTCAAGTTGTAGTCAAGCCTATAGTTCTTCCCTGACCAGACAGCTCAGCTGAGATAAACCTTGCGAGAAAGAATAATGTATGTATAGCTAGGGGCAGTTTTACTGGGACCAACTAGCTAAACAATAGTCATGTTTACTGGGAAAAAGGTTTTACTTTGAATGATATTTTCATATCTGATACCATTAAAATTTCATTTTGCATGGTGATAATAGCATGTTTCTTAAAATGGCATTATTTGTTTTATGGTTCTGATATGAAAGGACTAGCTGAATTTAATCAAGCTGGGGAGCAGATGTTTCCAAATTTAGTGATTTAAAAATATCCTTAGTGATTTAAAAATAACCTTAAATTGTAATGAAGAAAGACAAATTTGGTCACTCTGAAAAGGGCTACAGCTCAAGTTGTTTGATACAAATGCGCCAACAGATTGCACTTATTTAGCATTAGACAGAGGTAAAATGGAAAAAAAAAAAAAAACAAAAAAAACCAAAAAAACAAAACAAAACAAAAAAAAACTGGCAAAACCAGTTATCACAGGAAAATACACAGTATAAACCTGTAAAGAGTATTGCAAAAATTACCCAAGAGTTCTGACTCCCTTATGGGAGTCGAATGGAAAAAAGCCCAGTGACTTCACTAAGCATTAATAGCTGGAGCAGATTCTAAGAGAAGGGAAAAATTAAAGCTAATTTAATTAAGTACCACAAGAATTCTGACAGATAGTTACTGAAACCAGATTGGAAATGTATGGGATTTCTTTGGTTAGGAGGAAGTGCTGGCTCCACTGGAGTCTTGCCATTGATTTCACTGGGGCCAAAATGTCACCCTGAGAATTATGTTTCAAGTGACTTTCGAAACACGTTGCATGTTATATTTAATCTGGTTTTAATTTGTGTGCTATACTATTAAAATGAGGTTACCTTTGCCAAGCTTGAGTTATTAATTAGTTATTAGCAATCATATTCCCTTTCCTTTTACATGTTTTTAAATGTCATTTTTTCAGAAATGGCAAGAAGTACAAAATAGTCTTCCTGCAAGAGTGCACTCATAAACTGAATAATTCAAAGCCTCTACTGTCATTGTGCAATCAAATTTTTAATATGATGCTGTCAAAGTCATAAAAAAAGAAAATCAAATGTGACATCATAGAAGACAATGTATATAGCTAACATGACATCTGAATGTTTTAATTTCTCCACTTTATATTTAGTTGTTAATGAAGATAGACCTTCCTTTCCTCTGAGGAGGCTCGTAATACAACATATTAAATGTTCAGAAAAAATGATGTATTTTTGTATGCTACATTTTCTTAAAAAGAGATATACCTCTTGTGAAGAAAAGTCCCTAATGTGAAGAAAATGAACTTGTAAAAGAGACAATTTAAAGTCTTCACTGGGAAACATAGAACTGAGGTAATTTGTAGCTAATGAGAAAAACTGTTGTCAGATAGGTTTTCTAGAATATAGTAGGTATGATCTTGACAAGGGACAATTTATTAACTGTTCCTAACTAGGTACATACCTCTGTGTAAAAGAAGGCACTAACGCACTTTTACCCTCAAAGAACTGTAATTTCTGTGGTGTCTTTCTGCAGTTTTTCCTCCTAAATTAAGTATATATAATGCTAATGAAAAGTACCAGATTGGCAGAAATGGAAAATGAAAACTCTGTTTTTACCCAGAATTTATGGAGCATAGAAAGTAGCAGTGCAATGCAGTGACCCCACACTGAGTTGCTGTTGCAGCCTGGCTTGACTGGGTACTCGACATGAAGAAAATATTTTCCCACTGAGGACCTCTTTGCTCCAAGTGGTCAGCGTACAGAGGAAACCTGCCTGGAATGGGATTTTATTTGTTAGCCTCAGCCTCTGCCATCCCCAGAGTAACCAGCCCCATTTTGAGGCTTTACAGGGATCTGGCTGGATCCCGCAAGGAGCTCAGCATTCTCAGCAATGGTGCCTTCAAAAGTGCCAAGTGCATTTTCCAGATCCCTTAAGAAATGGAGTGAAACAACCAGTTCATTTCACACAGGCCACAAACCAGCTTTCAAATCGCAATGATTTTCCATCACTACTGCATGTTGGCTGTATTTGAATCAGTGAACTAGAGGTGAAAGGCTCCAAAAATGTGATTACCAGTCCCCAGAGACATTTAGTCCTTCAAGGATATCTTACTGAAAATGTATATTTGTATTTCACAAACTGGAGCAGAGAGAAAGGAATTAATAACACACAAATATTTTTCTTTTGTTTAAAAAAAGCTCTCTTTTTTTTTTTTTACATTTTATAGGGAGACTGTTAATCCTATGTTGGCAGATATTTGGTTCTGCAATACATATATAAACCACGAGCAGCCTCATACTTGCTCATATTTCATTACCACACAATGCTACATTTTGTCTTTTGAGTAGACAGTGGTTTAACCATGAACTCCCATACCTGTCTAAATTAAAACATTCCGATGCTTATGTTGGGGATGTGGTTTTATACCCCTAATGTCTGCCACTCAGCAGCAGAAAATGTCAGAAAACAAATGAAATAAGTAAAAAATAAGAATCTATTATTCATAATAGATTTTTATGTATAATGGCTTATTTTGTATAAATTACGGCCATTACTTTTTTTGGAAAAAAAAAAATCAGCTTAAAGCTATTGTGACTGGTTTATAATACAATGTAAATCTACTATGTAAGTAAAGCTACTGAACTAAGGGAAGCCACCAACTGAACACTGAAATGAATATTTAAGTGATACTCCAGCTGTTCAAAGGTCTCTTGTTTTTTTCTGCAGATGTCTTCTTCCTTTTAGTTTATCCAGGACAGCAGCTAAAGCAGATTCAAACTGAGAAAATGTGTTAGAACTTAAATTGCAGGAAAACTTGTTTTCCCATTTCGGTGTCAGAATGGAAGTGAGAGATGGGGATCTATAAGGTCTAA